CTGCTGGTTTGAAGGAGCCGAGCAGAACGACAGCGTAAATGCAGGAAAGCCCTGCAGTTACTGCTGTCCTGGGGGGGCCGGGTGTGTCGGGCCGTCGGGGGGTCCGATGCTCGGCGTTTGTTTTCGGTTCCGCCGCTCACCGCCTCCTCCGAGACCCTGGTTTAGGGGCCTCCCGCATTTCTGCTTTCTGCCCCATCCTTTCTGGTTTTAAGAAGCGAACTGTTTAGGGAATCGCCACTCTGTCTGCTTGTTTAAACTCCGCATTGGTTATGGCAAATGCAGTGACGGGTAACAACTTCATAAGCTGGGTGCGGTGTGTTCGTGTCGCTCGGAAGCGCTGCAGTCTCTGAGGTGGTGGCCTATTAAATCCGTTCCAGAAAACGGTACGCTGAGCAGCCACGTAGGAAAATTTTTACAGGCACTTAATTTATCCTTCTGCTTAAAAGAGAGAATTAGAATGACCACCCTCATGTTTCTACAAATGTAGCAAGCAACTTGGGTGGGTGGCCAGGTTTTAAAGTACAGCATGTGGATGCTGTCTAAAAAAGAACTGCATTTTGCCGCAAAGCTTGGTGTTTAGGTGGTGAGGCATAAGTGCTGTAAACAGCCAGCATTTGTGAATGAATGTCCTGATTCTTCTTAGTACCTGCCCCTTCGACAGAATTGTTTATTGGTAGCAAACTTCAAGCTTGTATTTTTGAAAAATACGCTGCTGTTGCGGTTTTGTTTCATAGCCTCAATCTCAGAGATGAAAGTAGGCTACAAGAGTTGTGTACTCTGAGGCTGATGCGCCATGTCATGCTTTGAGTGAGGACGTGTGAGCTACTGCTAGTTTACCCCCTAAAGGAGAAAAAGTGGCAATTCTGTCTGCTAGATTTATGAATTGCAGTGTTTGAAATGGGACTATGCATGGCCAGTGGAGACTGCAGGCCGTTTGCTACGATGCCTCTCTACCTCGAGCACCAGGTTGCAGCCATGCTGGTCAGATACTTTCATGTATCTGCGAGACATGTTGTCTTCCTACTGATGGCCAAGACAGTCGTAACCAGCTGTGGTCCCTGACAGATGTTATCTTCTTGAAATGAGCAGCCTGTTCATGTCACCGATCCGGGTTTGAATTCCTTTACGTGACATCCGCCTGGCTCTACTGAAAATAAGGAGTCTGCCACATGCATTCACATCTTAAATGTTTGTCCTCTACTCATATCTCATCGAGCATTTATTGTCCCTTATTTTTGGACTGTTTGTTTGCTTGCCCTTTTTGCATCTGTCTGAATGGGTGTTTCCTGAACGGGCACGTTCATGGTTTTGTAGGTTTCAAAGGGGGTGTTGTCTCTGGTCAACACTAAGAAGCATGTGAAAATACAGTTTCAGACTAAGTAGAAAGTTGGATTGTTGTTTCTCTTTTTTTGCTTTAAATTAAATTTGTAGCAAGACTGTACATCTTTTTAAGCTTAGCTTACTTCTAACTAAATACACAACACGAAATTCTTTTTGCCTTGTCTCTCTGGTAGCTCTTCAGTCAGATAACTGTGTCAGCATGCTAGTTTTCAATTTTGTAAGGCTACGAAATTTACTAGAAGATATTTTTATCCAGTCCTACAAGAATAGG